TCCTATGTGAGGCAATAATCAATCAATCAATTACAATGAGGATTACAATAAGACTGATAAAATGATAACAATAACAGTTACAATGATGAAGAACAAACAAATCAACAATCATTCAACTCAATCGAAAATCACCCGAAAGACAGGCAAACGCTTAAGTTCATAGCGCTCAAGCTAAGTCCTCCGGATAGCTATCCTCATCGCTTTCGTCGAATGCGTATTTTACCTGTTTTCGCTCACGAACACCTCCACGACGGGACTGGGCAGTGCCCTCGTCAGATTCGTTACCCTTCTCCTTAGGCGAGTCATCTTTTCCGAAATCACTCGCGTCACTTTCTGATGGCAGTCGACGTTTTGCTGGTTTGGCCTGAAATTACTTCGTTCTCACTGAATCTCTAATCTAATCGTTTACTCTTCAATTCTAATCTATCTCCAAAGATCTCTAGATTTTCTTCACGACTGGAAAAACTATAAATCAAAATCTCAAAATGAATATAAAATTTGGTGAAAGGTTTGAAAAATTTCACTCAGATCACTTTTCTTATTTCCCATGTTATTCACTTTTTTTCAAACAGAATTTCTTTCAAATCCAGAATGATTCCAACGAAATTAGCTGGAAAATACTCTGATTTAAATCAGAAACCGAATTTAAGAATTTGAAATATTTCAATTGAGCACTTCTATTCGTACCTTCTTTGCTGGTTGTTTCTTCTCTTTTGGTTTTGCTGCTGACGGTTTCTTTTTCGTACCATCCATTTTCTTTTTTGTATCTTTCACACCATCCTCATCACCAGTCTGGCTGTCTTTCCCTTCGTCCTCGTCATCATCCGACTCGATAAATGCCGTCGGTTTGCGTTTCGTCGACGGTCCTGGTTGATCTGCTGATTCCAGTTCGTCCAGTGAACTATTCAACGAGTCTGCTTCATTCCCTTTCTGAAATTCAACATTTCATCGTAGAACTTCCAAACAATTTTTCTTGCTTCAAATGGAATGGAGCGAAAAAAAGCCCAACCCGTTGTCTCCTGTCTTCAGCCGTTGTCTTTTTCAATTCGGGGCCACTATCCGCGAAAAAACTATCAAAATCATCGATGTCATCAATCTCATATTCCTGCTCTCCGTCATCGTCGTCACTCTCATCGCTGTCTTCTTCCCATTCCTTCTTGTTCTTTTTGATTTTCTTTTTTGGTGATCCCCCTTCAGCTGGAATCAAATAACAACAGTAATAATAACAACTATCACTAAAAACCAAACATTCACCAACCACATCCCTGCACATTCTAACGTAAACAGATCTTATGCAACAATTTAAACATCTGCTCAATATCACGAGTTTGATATTCATATTTCATTACCTTGATTCAATATTTCAATAAACTCTATCATAAATCACCTCCAATAAACACATTTCAATAAAATAAACTGTATCATATCATAAACCAAAATCGTTCAAAACATTTTATCAACTTACAATCGTTTGGTTCCTTTTTACGTTTTCGCTTCACAATTTTTTCACCACTCTGCAAAATACAACTTATGACTCCGTAATTGTATTTGTTAAAGTTACATATCTTTTAAAATTAACAAATAAACCTATATTACTATATATTACACTAAACAACATGCATATGTCATACTGCACTATTCGTAAGTCTCTTTCGAATCAACTAAATGACATGTACACAGCTAAATGATACGATATGATACTCAAAAATGAACTTTTTAGTGAGCAATAATAAAGTTTAAGAACGTTTGTTTAGAGAAGACTCGCTTAAAATATCCGATAATAACGCATAACGCATTAAGCAAATCGAACCTCATCCACTTCATCATCTTTCGGTTCTTTCTTCGGTTTTTTAGGTTCTTTCGGAGGTTTTGGCTCTCTGGGTTTACGCACTTTTGGTTCACCGTCCGCTCCGACGGTCTTTTTCGCATCATATTTCTCCTTGATTGCATCCATATTCGGTTGAATTCGAATACCGCTCGGGTCGGGCAATACTTCCTGAAGATCGAGTAATATTAAGTTACGTGAAACAAACGGTGATCATCATCTAAATGAAAGAAACCCAAAGAAACGGGGGCATGAAAAAAAGAAAGGTATAAAGGGTGAACAAGGTCAGAGGACTAGAACGGAGGAGATGGATGTCACTTAACGAATATATATCACTAACCGCAACGAATCCGCCGCTAGCACGATTCTGCTTTCGTTTGCGATCTGCTGCCAATTTATCCCCTTTCAATTTCCTTGCGGCTGCTTTGATTTGACCAACAGTATCTGCCTTCTCTTTCGCTTCCTTAAATAATAATATAACAAAACAATAATAATTATAAATAACAACAAAAAGAATGAAACAATTTCTCCGCAGAATGAAAAATTTCACAAAATCCATAAAAATTACCTGCTTATCCAGTTCCACCAAGAAATTCTCCAAGTCCGCATTCCAAAGATCCGACCAACTTTTACTCTCCAAATCCTTCAAAACAAATACGCAACTCACACCAATCACTACTACAATTGCACCTTCATTTTTCCTTTTCTACCACAAATTTCTTCCATTCCAATCGAAATTTTTGAAGACACAAATGAATAAAATCAGCAAAAACCCTCCACCTACCTTCAGTTCGCTTAATTTTGCCTCACTTTCTTTGAGAAGTTTGTCTTTCTCCTCTTCCGATAACTTCAAAATGGCCATTCCAACCAAATAATCATAATCGCTCAATTTCTTCGCCAGATCTCTTTTCAACGGAGAGGCTGCTACCGCTTGACTCTGCTCAAACATATTATAATATCAACAAACGAAACATTCAAATTCAAACAATTCCTCACAAAACCCTTTAACAAC